GGGGTTTGGGATGGCCTGGTGGTCTTAGAGTGTTGCGCCTCGACCTCTTGCTGGCCGGTCACCTCTGGCTTGTAGTTGTGGTTTCGATCCCTGGTGTGAGCGTATGTGGCTTGGAGATCTGGCGCCTTCTGAACCTCGTGAAAATAAAACAATTTGTTTGCGATATCACCTTCGGTGGAAGCGGACCTTAAACACTAAGAAGAACAACAATCTGTGCAAACAGCAAGAATAACGCTTCCTAGTTGTAAATTAGTGCGTACTTGATTCTGTCATAATGCTGCGTGCCAGTGCTAGCTGTCTAATGACGAGATACTTCAAACTTCCAGACTGAGAGTTCCAGTTCCGCAACAGGGTAGCTATTCCTTGAATCCACATCTGACATCTGCTTGCTACTGGGACGTCAGTCATTTTAACTAAAGTGCTTATTAGTTTGAACTAATATGCATGCTTTTGTGACAGGAGAATCCACACATGTACTAAACAATCTGGTTGGTCAAACTCTCAAGAATTTATCAGATGTTTGCGATGAATGATTAAGATCAGCGAATATTGGTGTGTTGGTGTGTTTTTTTTTTATAGAAACAATAAAACACTAATAATACAAATCAATAGAAACCATAACTTTAACATTAAAATCAGCAGGCAATGGCGCCTAATTGTTCATCAAAACACAGAACACAACACGGAGAATCCAAAAGGTCAACCATAACGAGTTGTTGTAGCTTCAGGAACCCGCCGCAAGTCATCATCTCGTCATATGAACCCATAGAAAATGGGACTCACGGTGATGTCTGTACTGATGCTGTGCCATTGTTTTTTTTTTCAGATCAGATATGTATTCCGTGCAGATGTCCCGTGATTTGCGTTATGTAAAAATCATGATGTTACGTTGTCAGGTATAGTGAAATGTAAGATAAATCACACGTTAAATCTCCAGGTGACTCAAATGTCAGTGTTTGTTTTATCACCTTCAAACACAAGGTTACATAGTGGACATGACATTTCTGACAATTCGTACCCTTGTGATTGATGTTTATAATATGACAACGTATACAGCATCCCATGCTAATGTATGTTCAACGTGTCACTATGACAAGTATGTCGACAGTAAGTGACACATTGGTGACATAAAACTAACTTATTTATCAATTTCTGCCCTTTAAGGCCATTAATATTCAACATGTTGCAATATTTATAATAACAACGTCTATAGTAAACCGTGTGTACATGATTTGAATTTCAGAAATAAAATTGAAACGGGATGGGGTTTAACGTCTAACTTTTCTGTGTCGAGTGGACTAATGAAGACACCATCCATTTTGCCCGGACAGCGGCGCTACGTACTCTTATTTCGAATTCCAACTGTCAATGCTTCTCTTACGTACATGCCAATGCAGTGGTTCTCAACCTTTTTTTGCCAACAGCACACTTTGGAACACATGAAAAAATAGCGGCACACAGAGCTAAATATATATGAAAAATATTTGTATTTTGCAAAATAAAAACATAGCAAGTCATAGACAGCATACAACCGTAGGCACAGACTATAGCCATTGACACATAGAATAAATAAAGAAAACCACGGCTATGAATTTCAGTGAGAAATTTTCTTTGTGTGCCGTTCAAAATTTCGCGGCATACTTAGGAGAGAGAGAGAGAAATGGGGTTTAACGTCCACTCGACACAAACTAGGTCATTTCGGGACTAACACGTGGTTAATTTTATTTCATTAATTCGCTTGCGCGTAGGGGTCTTTAGCAGTGGGAGGAAACCGGAGGACCCGGAGAAAACCCACGAGGATGGACAGGCGACCCTACTCCTTGTCACGTACAACCGGGGATTCGAAACCACGCCAGTTGACTCAATGACAGGCCGTATGATACAGCACGCACGTGCTTACCATTCGGCCATCCACCCCCTGGCACACTTAGGAAGATCTCAACACTGGTTGAGAATCACTGCGCCAATGTAACTACTAGACACTATATTTACCAGGCCCCCCGCCCTGCCCTACTAACAAGGTGGAACCACCGGAAAATCCCGAGGAACTTTCTCGGTCACCTCCGGGATAGAACCCAGCACCTACTGTTTAGCGAGCCAGTGTCTTACTCGCTGAGGGGGGTTGGATGGCTGAAAGGTTAGCGTGCGCGCGCTGTATCATAAAGTCTGTCATTGAGTCGACTGGCGTGGTTTCGAATCCCCGGTTGTACGTGGCAAGGAGTAGGGTCGCCTGTCCAACCTCGTGGGTTTTCTCCGGGTCCTCTGGTTTCCTCCCACTGCTAAAGACCCCTACGCGCAAGCGAATTATGTAAATAAAATTAAACCATATGTTAGTCCCAAAATGACCTAGTTTGTGTCGAGTGGACGTTAAACCCCATTTCTCTCTCTCTCTCTCTCTCTTACTCGCTAAACCACCTCGGCTCCAAATTGAAATTCAGACGAAAACATGTCTCCTTTAAGCTTTTATTCAAATAACTTAAAGGTTACACAGTAAGTATATTCTAGAGTTATAAGTAGGTGGGACTAATTAGTTTTGACATTTTGGGTATCTACTTTTGTTGACAACATAAAGACGCGAAAGGTGTTTGACAGGGATGATTCCGCATGGTCGAACCCTTCTATTCAAGTAGACCTTTTACCTGACGGTTTAATAAGAATGTGTTTAGAACGCGCATGTGAGAACAGGAGATTTAGATAGTATATACGAAATAAGATGAAAGCTTTAAAATATCTGGGTAATTTTCCCAAACTTCTATATTATATCAGCTGTTATATAGCCTCGGTTGTCAAAAGTTAAATACAGACATCGGGATGACGTTGCTAATAATGCTGCACATGTATGCTAGTCAAAGCTTTATATGTAATCAAGATCCAGGCTGCTCAGACCACACAAGAAGCTAGTTTACAATTTCTGATTTCAACAGCAAATGTGTTTTCAGTAGACAAAGACTGCCGTCACCATTAATTGTATGTGGTGGTTGACATGGCATTTCAAACCTCTTTTTTCACAGCAAATGGCAAAATATACCCTCTCTTGGTGATATTTTTCGACTTGGCTTCGCGACGATTGTTGAGATTTTGATGGCCAGGGAGAAGGATTTAGTGCTTTTCTTCACCGAGATTTGATATTTATATAGCTTAACGCACAAATATTGAGCTAAATGTCATTTTAAACATTAAGTACTAATGAGAATATGATATTTCGTCTTAACATTTCTACTTTTTTTAAAAAAAGAAATAGCGTCATCTGAACAAACGATATCATTTAAGTGGGAATAGATGCTGTTTTAAAACCACATAAGATGTTATGGTTTTTCTGTAATTAATTCTAATTCTTTAAGTAGAAAAACAACAAAAACTTTAATAAACATAAGATGAGTTGTAGAAGTAATTAACAATTATCTGAGAAATAAGAAATAACACAAACATATCTACCCGGATGACAAGAAAGACGGTAAAGCTAAGCTCTTCTTCACTTGGTAAATCACCTTCTTATAATAATTAAGAGAAAATTCGCGGAAATTAAGAAAAGATAAATCGCAAGAAGTAAAATGAAGTCGTGATACAGGAACAAAACAGAAGATATTATATGTAAACTATTTGTTCTTTTTTTTGGTAATATTAACAAAAGCTGCATAAGTCATTCACCTTTTGATGTTAAGTATAACCAGCTAATAATCCAGATTAACTCATAGCGGATCAGATTAGACGCCTTTATAGTCAACATGTCAAGGTTACCACTTACTGCAGCAATATTAATATAGCTATTTCAAAAATCGAGGAATGGCGTGTATTCGTCTTGTAGATGGAATGACTGGAAGAGAGGAAGTTGGCGGATTGGTAAATGAATGGAGGAGAGAGAGAAAGGGGGGATACTTAATAGGGGCTTAGATAATCTCAAATAATATAACACTGATAAAGTGAAACGATTATTCTATTTTTGACAGTCAAAAGCTGGCTCGTGTGATCCATCAGCGAATGGACGATTCGTTTGGTGGACCTAGTTTTCGGACACCGAAATTAAATAGTAGCTAATCGGTTACGGTTAAAATCCTTGGTGCCTGAAATATTGGTATCTCTGTGGTTGTTAAGAGGAATAAATGTCTAACATTTTGGGTTCTATGTTTTGTCGCTAAAAAAATTTTCCCGGACAAATAATGACATGACAAATCTGTTTAGGAGAATGTCACTCCTCGGAGTAAATCACATGCTTCATGAGAAGGCTTTCGTGAACAGGTGTGGGGGCTAAAGAGGACACATTACCAATGGTCACCAATCTACATCCTTACCACTTCCGGTAACGGTCGGACTGCTGCTGCCTGGGGGCACATAACCCATGCGTCAATTTGCGTCACAAACGCACTCCTTAGAGACACGTATACCGAGGAAAGGGTCTTTTTCCTGGACAATGTTTAATACGAATTCAATGAATTGCTTTATATCTGTCAAAGGGTGTTTGGCACGGGGGTCCCCATTTGGTACGTGGTTGTATCAATCCAACAGAGCAATTTAAATATAACATAGCTCTCTTCAATGACGTCTCCAATTGTTACTCAGTGGTGTAACTGTTATCAGCTGTTTTAACTCAATAATACATTTAGTAATGTTCTGAATCCTTGGAATTCTTTATATTTCGTTCCAAAAGATTGCACCATGTACCCATTTCTTTTGTCCGGTTTAGTTCATAAAACATTTCAGCAGAAAAGTTGGAGCTTAATATGCGTATGGACATGCATATATTCTTTTAACTACCGTGCTTTAGAAAAACGACAAATGCGTTAATTTAGTTGATTCCAGGCTTGATTTGAGTTATTAATAGAATTCGGGACATGACCACATTTTGTGCCATACAAAATACCAATTCCCTGTTAATCCCCCACCCCTCAAACAATTCATTTTATTTCGTCACCTTTGTGCAAGATCAAATTCTGCAGATGTCCAAATTTCTGATTCTGCATCATAATGCTCTCAAATATTTAATAAGAAATGAAACTAATAAATAAAATAATCTAGATTTAATGGCTTAAATTTTCAAATAGAATTTAATAAAAACTTTTCAAACATATACAAAACATCTCAACTATACATATTATATATCTATAATACATAATTTATAGTTTTTACTGGGACAGCACCATTTATTGTCTACATAGATTTCTTCAAGACAACAAGAGTGTAAATAGTCCTGCATCACATTATTAAATAGCTTTCTTTGTCTCATAAATAATCATTTTAAAGTTATATAAATATTTGATTTCAAAAAAACACTTTTAACATAACAACTCTTCTATGACGTGTAGATAGATGTAAGCTTTAGGTGTAATATGGCACATAACATAGATGATATAGTTAATTAGTAACAGCTCAAGGAACGGCGGCTCCTAATCTCGGTCCGTACAGAGATGAATAGGGTGGGTAGTAAGCACTCAATGGAGGGAATTGTTGAGCTGATGGGGGAGCAGCTACACTTCCAAGAGGGGACTTGTATGGGTGATAACGGCTAGCCATTAATCCAGGACTTAGACTTGTGGGATAGGCTCTGCGTAACGCGTTGGGACTAATGGGTGCAGAGCCTCCCAAATGAGCCAAACTTGCAGAAGCAGCTGATAGAGCTGAAGATAAACCCAGTCCATAACCAGCTGGTAAACCTGATTCAATACTCGATGTATGACTTCTTAAATGTTGCATGAGTTCTTCTGAAGAATTAAATCGTTTACCACAATAATCATGTCCTGAAACCCAGTTACACACATATGGTAGTCCTTGATGGGCACTTAAAGCACTATGGGGATGAGCATAAAAGGAATGTAAAGGTGAAAGTCCTGCAGCACTAGATTGTAAAGATGAAAGTTGTGGATAAAACGACAAATGATTTCCATGGAGTCCCATGCCCTGTGAACCAGCAGCTAGTCCTAATAAAGCTTTTTCATGAGCACACTGTGAACATCCTGGGGTTGTACAAGTTGCTGAAGTATGGGATGTTTGAACAGTTAATTGACAATTTGTACAGTAGGGATCTTTACACACTGGTACTAGAGTTGTAGCACCTGATGGGGTTCTAACACGAGTATAACTCACATAAGGGTTCATTGAGGCAGCTGCAGCAGCACTGGCTTTTAAAGCTGATTGTTGGGCAGCTGCAGCTGCAGCTGACGCAGCAGAGAGTCCTTGTACATGTAGACCCGAATGTGCTAAAAGTTGGGACTGGTAAACAGCAGCAGCTTCTGGTGATATTCCATGTAAAGATAAACCGGGATAACCTAGCGGCGAAGACGCATGTAATCCACTGTACAGAGGATGGTTGCTTGGTTTAATACTCCCATATGACATACTTGCTTGGGAATATGAAGGTGGAAGCGTGGCAGATTTGCTATGTATAGGAGTCGATGTTGCAATTCTGGAATGATGATCATGAATTTCTTTTTCCCTCGACTGAGACCATGTTGGAGTAGTGACCGGTGAACTTTTACTGCCAGTGGAAACTGGCCGAGAATGTACAATTGGGCTGGGTTCTCTCATCTTTTGATCACGTGTAGGGCTATCACAAGTATCGTTCGGGATTGGAACAAGTGGGGGAATATCCTTAGGCGGAACAGTTCTGAATCCAGGTTTGTCACCTTCTTTGGGGTGTTCTTTCTTCACACTGGGGGAAGTATGCACTTTCTTTTCTAGACTGATAGGTTTGTCCCCTTTATCAGCATCTTTTCTGTCTTGGGGGACACCGTTAGCTTTGGGTGGAGGTACATCTTTACCAATGCTACTGCACGTCTGGGCCAAAAGTGCCAGTGGACTCTTTTTAACGTCTAACTGAAAAGATAAAATAAAAAGACTAATGAGTAAATGTTCGGTTTTCATTGGGCAATTTGACTCGAATTCAAAGACAGTATATTTCATGCATTAAATTCAAAGTCAGTATGTTTTATGCTTTAATTCAAGGTCGGACCATGCTTTATGTTTTAAATTCAAAGTCGGCATGATTTATGCTTTAAATTCCAAGCCGGTATGCTTTATGTTTTAAATACGATGTCAATATGCTTTAAATTCAAAATCAGCATGTTTCAACATTTTCTTTCTTCGCATAAGGCATTTGATTTCTGTCAATGACGAGACGTTTACTGGCGATAAATATACCGTTCACACAACTGACAATAATTATTGACAAAAGTCAATGAGGGCAATCGTTGTTGGACATCATGTAAGTGGATATTTAACCCTTTTATCGACAGTTGCTTATAAAGAATCGATACGCGAATTCTTCTTATTGATTTCTGACAACTAAACGAGCTGATAATTACCACATTGTTAAAGTAAATCAAGGCGACATATCGACGAATTTTCTCGACAAATATCATATCAGCGTCTAGTAGAATATCGAACAATTACGGCTTCAGCAATTTAGTTGAGCGACAATACGGTTGACAAAACAAATGTTATTAAGGAAAGTTGGGCTGTGCGGTGACTCACTCATACTGGTCGCTCTCGTCTATCTATACCTAACGGTCCACGTATCTACATGGTTCACTTGGTGGCTTTGAGTTAAATAAATAACCTAGACTACCGTTTCTCGTGGCGTTCCCTAACTGATTTTCGTCGAAATGTGGCCATTTTGTATATTTGTTAGCCATGAAGACAAATTTACAAGGGGAATGCCCGTTACTTGTAGCGAAAGAATGTTTCATAAGATTATTCTCCCTCAATGTAAACGCTATTTCGTTTTAGCTAACGCCCCATATACATGTATGATAAAAATATAAGTATGAAATATGTGAACCTGAGTTGCTAAGGCGTTTTGTTACAAACTATGTCGAGTAGAAATGATTTTAATACGAGATAAATATATAAGTTATAAAAAATGAGGAACAAAACAATAAGAAATTCTGAATTCATAAGAATTGTAAGAGCTTCGGGCACATTTTAAGTAAAAATAGAAATAGTGAAACTATGGATTGCCTAATTAGTTAAACATTGAAGAGTATGAAGTGTACACCATGAATCTAAAGATAGATACGGACGGAAGCCCCTTTCAATTAAAACAAATCCCAAATTTTGAAACAATATTTTGTAGATTATAAACAAAAATAGACATAAAAGTACATCGTTAGTAGGGCGTGGGAATCATACAAACTGCCATCCAAATATTTTGAATTTGGCAGCGTCCATGACCCTAAATGCCAATGTTACACCATTAAGTAAATATTATATTGTATTTCTACGATAGATTTGCTCATTTCACAACTGACTCATCCATACTTTGACCCTTTTCTGTCAAATTCACATCACAATTTCACAATACTAGTATACTGTAATTGTACTTAAAGGTACCTACAGCTATTTTAGCCTTTGATTGCGCGCCGCTCTATATGGATTATATATAGAAGTGACTCATTGAGAGCCGCGTTGAGTGTGCCAGTCCGGCTAGTCAACCGATAATAGCATTAGATGAACATTTTCAACTGTTATTGCTGTCAAAATCAGAGAAATTTGAGAAAACAAATAAGAAAATATGTAGATGGCTAGTCTAAAAATAAAATTACCCTGAAAGCATGTAGTTTTCAATACGTTTTGGCACACACTTTAATCTAGCTTGAATTGTTCCTTTCAGTTTCATATGAAATTAGCCCCTTTTACATCATTAATGGTGGATTCTGTCCTTATAAAGGCTAAAAAGTCGCCAGATCGCGACTAGCTAGAATCGTGACAGACATTAAGCATTTAAGCTAACCATATTTTAAAAAAAAAATAACTTACTGTTGTGGGTAATGGGTGTAAATAATCCGCATGATAATGCATATACTGTGAGGAATTCATCGTTGAATAACAGCAAAATAATCCAAACTATGGTTCAAAGGAGCATTGGTATGTAGTACGGTTAATCCAAGAAACAGGGTAAAATTGAACGAATGTAGGCAATGATTTTAGAACTCAGACGTTAAAACCCTTCACGCTATATAACAGAGCTTCTTCTCTCTCAACAACTGTCATACATATCTCTTCGTACCGAGTGTAGGGCTGATTGAAGCACGCCGCCCAGCGACAAAACATGAGCCGACAACACTTGTAAATTACTTCAAGATGAAACGGTTTTACCGCCTGCCAATGAGATCGTAAATAACGGTCGACACCTCACTGTGATTGGCTGGCTGGCCCGACATGACGTCTCATATAATAAAAACGATTCACAATGAATGATATCTGTTGGGAATTCAACCAATCAGAACGAAGCTTTCTAAATACATGGCAACCATCCAGCCGTCACCTCATGGCCTCGCCATCAATCATCTTGATGACCTAGCTGTCAATCAAGAATGATTTATACCACGACGGGCTGTTAATGTATACTTTGTAAAGAGGCAAATAAAGCGATAAAAAGCTCCGAAGTGGGAGAGCTAACAACGACGCTATTGACTGTATGCCAGCATAGATTAGATTTTCAAGACGGTTTCATGAACCAAGCAGACCGGAGGAAAAAAAAGATGGCGATCTTTTTGTAATAACACGCAAAAACAGACGGTTCGAAGTCGTTTGTTAATCTAATATCAGACGATAGTTATGGGAGATATCTGTTAACTTCAGAATAATGTCATGGGTTCTAAGTTGGGTTCAAATAATTGTTTGGAACACTTTCTGGGTGGGAAACGAACTGGATGTTCTAGTATGTATGTTGGCTTGTCAAGGGTTGTGTTATCTAGGTAAAAAATATTTTGTGAGTCTCTCAAACACATGGAGATATACATGTATTCTTTTATATTGGAATTCATTTGAGCCCGGGGAAAAAGGAATGTATCGTGACACTAATGGTCTAATATAAGCTCTGGACTGAGATCAAAGCCGACAGCATATTATTGCAATCCTTATCAATCAATCTAAGCCAAGTAGGGGTGTTTGAAAACAGATTGAGATAGACATGTTGAAAGACCTCGATGCTCAATGTTGACAGACAGGACAATTAGGCGGTAAGATCAAAGAAGTTCTCAACGATCCTTATCTGCTATAATAAACACGGTGGGTAACCAAGCCTTGATGGCTATCTCACAGAGGCCGGATGAAGAGATAGAAAACACTTAGTCCTTGATTACACCATTCGACTTTCAATGGTTAAATAATTTATAATCTCCGCCTCGAACTCAGTTTGGTAATTTATAGCCAGAGTACGTGTTGTAACTACCCCTCCTTATTTTAAATCCTCTTTTCCCCAGGGGACGTCACACTCATTGTCTTGTATACCGGTCATCCCGTCTAGATAATGAGTTGGGTTTGATTTGTGACCTCCCTAATTTATTTCCCCCGCAAGGTGATTATACAGGCCCTTGTTAAACCCTTGCCTTTCTCTTCTTACAAATATCACATTGAACAAAGAGAATTTACGAGATTAGTAGAATGTATATAGATTAGATCTAATGACGTGACACGAAGCAGACGACTGATTTACGGACTGTTGGTATCAACTAATTGTTAGTGTTGCCAGGTTATACGGGTTAACTATATTTTACGTCTAATGGTCTTGGAATGCGTCACTTTCAGAAAAATAATTATGTTGTTGTTCATTGGAGTTTAGACAGTGGTATACCAATAACGTAGGTTTGAATCAAAATTTCAGTCCCATGTACATACTGGTGTGCACGTAAAAGAACCCTTGACAGTTGGACATTTGCCGCCAAGCAAAATTTCCCTCCATAGCACACTGTGTGGTGTATGTCTTCTTCATCAGCAGCAACTAAGAAGCTTAACCCCATTTCATTTGCGTTCATATGGTCATATTTACAGGCAGAGGGGGCATTAAATGAATGAGCGCTGGGTTGGTGGGAGAGCAGTATATGGTCATATTTACAGGCAGAGGGGGCATTAAATGAATGAGCGCTGGGTTGGTGGGAGAGCAGTATACATCATCTCGAACAATAGAGTACTCTAACATGGATAAGAAAATGCGACAAGTATATTTATCCACATATAGACGCTATACAGTTTTTATAGGTATATTTCAGTGATTAATCCCTTCTAAACTACAATACTATGAAATACGATTCTCTATTTACAGATAAGATAAAATAAAAGATAAAATATATTCTATTAACGTGTCACCATTTACAAAGATATGATGAATATCAAATTTGTGAACATTCGCCATCCTTTAAAGACAATATAAATCACATCAAGTCGAAACAAGTCAGTGTCATCTATAATCTTCGCTTAAATCTTTTGATGAGCAGCATTGTAATCCGATTGAATCCGAGCCAGAAGATTACCTCCTGTATTTATTTTGCTTTCATAGGTAAAATTAAATAATCAATTTGATCGTGGATTAAGCCGCGCAACATTGGATAATGCTCGATAAATGGTAATGACAACCAGCGACTTTAACACATGTACTGCGTTCCGTTTCAAGTTTCCCGAATCCATAAAACACTATGGAAAAAAGGCTAAAAAAATATAGTTCATTCTAGTCAACATGGCATTTGAATCCCAATATGAACCAAGCCTTCGTCTATATTGGATTCCAAAAGAACACATACATTTGAAAGTAGTTAGATATAATCACTGCCCACAAGTGCTAAAAATGTCTCATTGATGATAGTTAAGTCAGCAACATAGAATTCTAGAACGCAGTGGCCTTCACGTCGGAAAAGGCGGTCACTATTATCCATTCCACTGAACATTTCTTTAACATTAGATGTCAAATTTAAATAATCATTTAGAATAATATTCCATGCTATAGCGTCAGGAATCTCATCAAATATTATATTATTCATCATCCTTCGAAAAACAGAGTCATGTTTCGTCATATTCGACTAAATAATCGAGCAATTATTGAAATAAAATTAACCATATGTTAGTCCCGAAATGACCTAGTTTGTGTCGAGTGGACGTTACCCCCCCCCCCCATTTCTCTCTATATATAAATAGAGCAATTCGAATACCCGAACCCGCCCGCCACCCCCATGCCAGTACGTGAAGATGTTTCAGTTTCAGTTTCAGAAAGGAGGTTTAGTGGACACTCCCTGTGTTAGACTATTAATTTGTCATAGGATTGCACAATACCACCACTGCATTAGAGAATGTAAAAGTCATTGGGTCTATATAGTATGTTGCAGTAAGTGTACGAGGAAGTTGTTTTGAAGCATGGTGTTGGGCAATAAATCAGGAACTGTAGCATCCATAATTCATTGAGATATGTTAACAGATAATTTATATACGGTATGCGAGAAGGAAACAATACGGAAAATTTATGCCGCGTACAATATTTCACGAAAGAGTCATGCATGTTGACCATATCTCACTTTGAAAGTGACGCAGGGGACATGAATGCTGGGTTTCTAAAGCGACTATTTGTTTAGCACATGACGGAAATAACCGTAATACTACGAATCCGTTAAATCTGAAGAGTGGTTTACTTAGTAAAGGACGAAAGTCCACAATTCACGAAGAAATATGCTTTGTCGGTTATCCCGAATCAATGGGGTCGATCGAAGATGCCGCTGGCGAATTCAGCAGATATCAAAAGGCTCCTTTGTTTAATAATTAGTTCATTTAAATACATAATAAGATGAATTCATAACCGCGTACTTCCCAATGAATTATTAAAGATTTCGTAATTTGGTTTAGCTCATTGGGTATTCGTTCCACGTCACAGGGTACTCCCCAACGCAAGAACTAAATACATCCCGTGGTGTCCCGGGTATAACATTTTATGAAGCATCATTGAATTAACGTGTGCTGAACGTCATGAATTAAAAAGCTGGAAAAGAAGCCTGATGGGGGTAAAATGAGAAGTAGAATATGAGCCGTTTGATATGAGATACGTCTCACATAAGGTTTGATCCCACGTCTATCAAGTACCGCTTACCCTTCCTATGGCGTTGGTGTCATCTCGCCAATGTTCGTTAACATCAAACGATTATTTCTCCGCCATTTTAACATAACTGACAAGCGAGTGCGGGGATGTAGCAAAGTTTTAACGAGAGTGGTACAGGCGGCGCAATGAGCTATAGCGACCTGGCTCGCCCCCTTCTCAAACTACTGAAAAATGTGCTGAGAAATGACAACCGTGCATGGAGACGTGACCCTCGAGTCTTCACCCAGTTATCATCGTGTAGAGACAACCCGTCAAATGTCGATATTTGATGGAAGGCCGACCCCGAGGTCAACAACACGCTTCTTTCAGGTGCACATGCGCCATCACTTGCTATCACCGCAAAGCTTTGATCTCGCGACCTCTGACACCGCCACGAGATTTGAAGAGTTGGGCGATTTAGTTAAACCCTCGGCTCGATGCATTGCTACATTTATATCATGATCGGGATATAATCTGCGAGCTAAACCTAATATTGAAATAGCATCCTGAATAATAAGAGGTTAAGCAACCTTTTAATAATTGAAGATATTATTATGATAAAGTTTCAAATATCAAGTATAACGACCATGAGCTCTCATGTCTTGACGCCATATTATTACTTAGTATGTATTATGGCGTATACATCAAAGCTAGTGGTTAAATGTCCACCATTTTTTTCAGGTGATATTAAGTGCAAGAAACATCGGTGCAGGGCGTGTGGACACCGCGACCTCACACTATGCCGAATAGCGCCGAACTTCTCAGAACCTAATACCATCGGCCTGTCAATCATGTGAACGTCAAATACCATTTGATTGACACATACCGTATTGTCTTTGATCTTTTAGTGGTCTTTACACTCGGGTTCTGTGTTTGAATACCAGTAAAGCCAGGCATAGAACAGGGGCGTGTAATGTAAATACCGCCTGTGTTTATTGTAAATGGGACTGCGAGAAACTTGTGTGGAAGTTGTGCTTGTCTGTGATTATTCGGCATTACCGTGGGCGCCTTGCACCTTTATCTTAAGGGCAACTTTTGGTCTACATCCTGTCGACAAAACCTTGTTCTAAAATGTATTGGAGAGGTGTTGAATGTTAATTAGTATGTTGTTGATTTTTCACAATACGTCTTCAAACATTATTTTCTCAACATTAAATTGCACATATACAGAGTCCACAAACCAAAGCTTATCAGGGGGTGGTAACAACACACCAATGCCTTTCTTTAAAAATTCGCCGAAGGGCA